CCTTAATAGTGTCCCATATCCTCCTTAAATTATTTTTATAGTCTTGGCATCTTATTTCTTGCCATTCTGATTGAGTGTCCTGATTGGCTTTCCTGTCCTCTAGACAGGGCATGTGATCCTCTTCTTTATTCACTTTGTTTATTCCTTTGTTTATTTCATTTAATATATTTCTCATCTCAGACAATGTGTTCTTCATTTCAGACTAGTTCCCTTTCATTTCCATTTCCACTTTTATGTTTTTTATCTCTTTGTTGAAGTTCTCACTGAATTTATCTACACTTCCCAAAAGTTCATTGAGCATCTTTATAACCAGTATTTCGAACTCTGCATCTGTTAGATTATCTGACTTCATAATATCTGGATTTCTGGTCTATTCTCTCATATGGTTTCTGCTTCTTTGTCTTCCCATTTTTGGCTGCCTTTCCACGTCTGTTTCTGTGTATTAAGCAAAGTTCCTAAGTCTCCCAGTCTTATTAGTGTGAATTCATGAAGCAGGTGTCAGTGGCACAATCCTGAGAGGAGTTCAGCTGCAGGCCAAACTTAGCCCAAGCCTCTACCCCTCTGGGTCACCTGTTAAAATTCAGCAAGCAATCCACAGATGCTGTGCTTATAGTTGCCTCAAAAAGCCACACCAGAATCCGAGACCAGCTGCCTCCTTCAGTGTGAGTCTCAGTAAGGAGCTCCTAACTCGAGGATACACATGGATGTGGCTTGGGTGGTGCTGTGAGTTGGAGGAGGTGCAGTTTCAGTGAATCTTCTGGGCAGAGCAACCTCTGTTATCCAGTTTGATGACGTCAGAGCTATGGTGGTGCTGTGTCCAGTGCACTGGTAGCGGGGGAGGGCTCAACAGGGAACAATGGATACCACTGGCACTTCTGTACCCAGTGGATCTCACTTAGACCCTCACTCCGATAATGTCTCCCTGTAAGTCCCTGCACACAGCCAAACCGGCACTGGTGCTCAGAGCGAGCAGATCCGTCACCGTGAAAATCCGCTCCTGGACACGGCCCCTTTAAGAGGCGTCCGCAGCTGCCACTGCGGTGGCTTCCGTCCCCCTCAGCCGCTGGAGACTGGGCAGCCCCGTGTCCTCGCCCCGTGTCCTCACCCGTCCTCCCTTCCGCCGCTGCGGGGCGATGTCTTGGATTTCTCCCTAGTCGTGTGGCTCGTTCCTCTAGATCTCAGGTGATTTTTCCTTGCTGCTGCTCCTTGTTTCCGTCACATCTTCTATTTGGTTGCCAGAGGGGTGAGCAGGGCCTCTATCATCTACGCTCTTTTTTTTCTGCCTGAGTGGATCTTTTTCTTATTGATTCTCATAAGCGACTTCCTTTAAAATAAAAACCAGAGATAGAGTTTTAAGCCCCGCCCCTGTGTGAACTTAATGGTGTCACAGAACTTATGGCTTCAATTATGTATAAGAACTAAGAGTAACATGAAGTAATAAGGTGGAGCCAGACTTTATGCTAGATTCTTAAGTGAGCATTATCAGGCTTCAAAAACATCTTTTGTTTTGGGGCAAATATAATGGCTGCTTAAAAGCTATTGAAATTTAGTAATACAAAGTAATCTTTAAGAAGGTATTTAAGCAAGGGCGCAATGCCATTAAACTTAAGTCACTATATACACTTATTTAAAGCAAAGGAAGTAATATATCTACTTGCCGCGGCTGAAACTTTCTTACAAGTGATACTGGTGTGCATGGTAACGTCTCCCTCTTGCCCACAGGGTACTGTTGCAGCACTGTATCAATTTGGCAAAAGTGAGACTGCTGTGTTGGGTAAATTTTGTTTCATTTTGCTCTTAGCGCCAGTGAATGTAGTCTTACTGCAGTGGCTGGCCTTCCCCCACACACCACAACGTTGACATGGGCCACGTGAGAAATAGCGCTTAGGGTTGTTTTGCTGCTGAAATCAGAGTCCAGACTTTGAGAATTTCTCATTTAGTTACTTATACACAAAGTAATGTGAAAAGGAAGTAGAATTTGTTTTTCTTTCCGCTCCCCTGGTAGATGGTGATGAATTATTATTTAGATCTCATACTAATAAGGGATTTAGAATTCCCTGTTAGTAGGAAGGTCTGGCTGGTGACACAGGGCAGGAAGTAACCTTAA